TGGTAGTGGCAGAGAGATTGAGATTGAAAGAGATGGAGAGAAAGACAAAGAGATTATTATAACATACTGAGTTCACATCATACTACAACCCAAGAGTTGATGTATTCCTCCTATATTCATTCCCTCCCCAGATACACGTGCCGAGGCCTGTTTGAGCGACACAAGCTGCTCTTCTCCTTCCAAATGTGCGCCAAGATTCTGGAGTATGCCGGGAAACTCAACATGGACGAGTACAACTTCTTCCTGCGGGGAGGCATTGTAAGTGTGCCGTTATATCGCGTGTCATGACACGGTGGAATCAGGCGCTCGTCAGTTTTGGGACATATATATGGAGTTATTGGTATAATCTTAAAGCCTGTCCATTTGCCTTGCTTTTCATTTTTTAAAATTTATTTATGTTGGGTACAAGTCAAGATATCGGCGATTGAAGGAGGTGGGAGGTTGCCTGGTTTCAGAAGTAAAATTAGTGAGAAAATGGCACCAAAGTTGAGTTATTTCCTAAAGTTGAGAGACGGTGGATTCTGAAAATTGATATCTTTTCTGCCTTTATTCAACGACTTTCAGTAAAATCCATACAGAAATGTGTTCTTTAATGGGCATGAAAGGTGTTGACCAAAAAAACAAAAATTCGATAAAAATTCCCAAACCTGCCAAAAAATGAAAATTCTTGACTTTCATTATTTTGACGAGCGCCTGATTTCACCTAACTGCCTCCCATATTGTTATTGTCTCTTTTCTTTTTTCCTCCCTCTGGCTCTTATATCGCATTATCGCATCACATCCTAAAATTCGGTACCCCCCGAAACTGATAATATACGCTCTTGGGACGGTGGGAGGTACAGGCACTGCTGAAAATATATGCGCATGGGGCTGGAAGGGTTAACTTAATTGGTCGCTTTTAAAAAGATAAGCGGGCTAACCCAGATTTCAGGGGTTTCCAGAAATCTTGACCTACACCAAAAGTGGGCATTGCCCTACCTATAGGAGAAGTTTGGTTTCATTGGTATGTATATAGTTGTTTGGTTATAGAGAAAACTCTCCTTGTCTTTTAAAGAAACTGAACAAGGGTCCAAAAACTTTACGTTTGATTTTCTCAAAACAGCATTTTTCGGGATAGCCCCCTTGTGCTTAAAAGTGACCAATTTATTGTGCTTGTTGTCCAGGTGTTGGACAGAGAGAACCAGATGGACAACCCGTGCACCAACTGGCTGTCGGACAACGCCTGGGACAACATCACGGAGCTGGACAAGCTGACCAACTTCCACGGCGTCATCACGTCGTTTGAGCAGTACCCCAGGGACTGGAACTTGTGGTACACTTCTGCTGAGCCTGAAGTCACATCTCTGCCAGGTGAGCGTGTGTGTTTGTGTGTGTATGTGGTTGGAGGGGGGCGGGGGGTGTTTGTGTGTGTGTGTGTGTGTGTGTGTGTCTGTGTGTGTGTGTGAGATACAGTACCCACGGGACTGGAACCTGTGGTACACTTCTGCTGAGCCTGAAGTCACATCTCTGCCAGGTGAGCGTGTGTGTTTGTGTGTGTATGTGGTTGGAGGGGAGGGGGTGTTTGTGTGTGTGTGTGTGTGTCTGTGTGTGTGTGTGTGTGAGAGATACAGTACCCGCGGGACTGGAACCTGTGGTACACTTCTGCTGAGCCTGAAGTCACATCTCTTCCAGGTGAGCGTGTGTGTTTGTGTGTGTATGTGGTTGGAGGGGGGCGGGGGGTGTTTGTGTGTGTGTGTGTGTGTCTGTGTGTGTGTGTGTGTGAGAGATACAGTACCCGCGGGACTGGAACCTGTGGTACACTTCTGCTGAGCCCGAAGTCACGTCTCTGCCAGGTAAGT